AGCCTGGACGATGCCTACGCCTTCATGGCCCAGAGCCACGCCGGCATGAAGGTAGTGTTCATCTGTTCCACATAGGCCGGAATGAGTGATTTTCAGGTAGGCTTCATTGCGGCCTAATTGGCGCTGTGAAATGGCTTCCTCAATCTTTCCACTCGCGGATCCACGCTGAACGGTGAAAGAGTAGCTCATGCTGGGCGGCTGTTGTGTATTGGTGATCTTTTGGTACTATACTTGGTATAGAAAATGAAGTTGAGTTGCAAGAACATGTCCATTGATTGTTTGGGCCAGGAACCTAGTACTTATGGTGGAACTGCCGCGGCAAATGGTTGAAGATGCAACGCACCATCTTCAACTTCTACCAAGTACGTACACCATGATCATTGCGGTCTAGATTGGTAATGCAAGATGAACTCGAGCTTGGTGTCGCCTTCAGGAGAGAAGAATAGTATACATGGTGATTGATAATACTCCCGCCTGCAGTGCATCGATTTATAATATGGTATAGAGGGTTGCGAAGTTGAGAGAAACAACGGAAGTTTGAGGCAGAACGCTAAACCGTCGCACGATGGAGCTAACTATTCAATATCAACGAATTTGGGTAAAGGCGCCCCGTAAAATCTATGTTACATGGCTTACGAGGAGGATTACAGCTGAAAATTGGAGTAGTTGAGAAGCTACGAGTTGCGTCGCCGTCGGAACCCCGGCTGACATTGAGATCGAATCCGACATTGAGCTTCGAAGAGATTCAGGGAACCAAAAAGAGAGGCTCGTGGCACAGGTAGAGGCGCCATTACGGCATAAGCGTTATCTCGACAGGCATTAGCCGGAGAACGGCTCAAGAGCTCTGGGTCCGCTAACGCACTGCGTTTTCTGAATGAGGAAATGTTGTCAAGGCCCCACTGATGCACCGCGGCATCCTCTTTGGGTAATTTTTGAAAAACTGCTGGTGAACTGGTCACATTTGGCTCCATCACGCACTCGCACTATGTGGCGCTGCCGACGGATACTCCCTGCGAGCTGATTAGTCGAGCCGCCACTGACAGAGTTTTTCAGTGAGCAAAGTATCTTTGAGTTTGTGGATAGTTTCTCCTTGTACAGCCAAGTACCTGCCTGTATTCCACTTTCTGGCCTTGAGACAATGACAACTAGGAAAAGCTCAGCAGACTAACAAACGGTGGACAAGTAAGAAAGGTCTGGAAAAGAGCTTGCAGAAACACTAGCGGCGGGCATTAGTCGCGCATATTCTCATGTGAGCTTGTCAATTGTCTCCGAAACAAGACATAGCTTGTTTAATGACATGCATCAAACAGATGATACAGATGCCTCGGCTTCAATGTTACAATGGCCCAGGTCGTCCATCTCCGCGTACCGCTTCAGCATTATTGCATTAGATATCACTTCATGAAGTATTATACTAGTGGTGATGCTACACTTGAGTCTGTGTTGGCGGGTAACCGGCCTTGGTCGAATGAGTTTTTCTTTTACCCAGCGGGTCAAGTTCTATATTTCGACACTTGTGAAATGCCTTTTATGACCAAAATTCTTGTAGATAATAGGTTTATAAAATGAGATTATTGGTCTTGCGAATTTCCTGTCTCACTATACATGGTGGGTTATCAACGTTTAAAATTATCTTCGATAAAAGTACCACCGTATATCACAAGCACTTCACCCAAAATTCGTCTGAGCTGTCGTTTTGACACTGCAAATTGGAAAATGCAAGAAAGGTGTCTCTCAATTCAGTATGATAACATCTATATGAGCTCTAGTTTTTTTTTTCTAACCGTGGCTGTTCAACTCATTTGAAGCTGCCTCTTTTGTCCACGCCCCACGCCGTAACCCAGTGTCAACACACAAAAGGCAGCTTTATTTCCCATAAATTCTCTGCATGGTCTCCTTGACAGACTCTGGGCGGAACGAAAACTTATCGTTATCCAGCTCCCCGGGGACAAGTGCGATTCCACCGGCTGCCATTGGCTTGACGGACCACATCAGCTCATTCGCCTCATCACCACGAGCCCAAGCTTCTCTCTCATTTTTGGCGGCCTCTGCAGGATCCAGGTATGTGACCTTGTACTTGACTCCCTGGACCTCGCCCAAGTCATCGACGAATTTCTGGAATGTGGTCTTTTCTCCAACTACCCGAATTTCGCGCTTCTGAACACCGGGAGTTACAGGCAATAGAATTGACTCAACGGTATACTTTGCAATACTAAAGATCATTCATTGGTCAGTTCAAGCAATACTAGCCGACACCGCACGAGGCAAACGTACTCCGGGATCGAAGTCACATGAAGTGGCTTGTCGGGATATCCATATGGATTCGCAGTATGAGCGACAACATCGATGTTGTAAAACGGGTCAGCGGTCCATTCGGTGAAGACACCAGTCAACATGAGCGTATAATAGAAATCCGGGTGCTCCTTTGCCTTGGCGGCGAGATGGTCACGGGTGACACGCTTGTCTCGAAGATAGCGGAAAGTTCGCAGCTGTTCCTGGGCGACGTCTGATCCAAACTCGGATGGATAAAAGTGGCGGACTCCACCCGCAATGGCAGCTTCGATCATGGCAGGTTGCAGTCTCATGATGGAATTGCCAACTACAGACACCACAACTTCAAAGCCTGACGAGTTTGTTAGCTGTCTTTTCATTCAAGGTTTTTCACGCCCTGCCGATAATACAAACGACTCACCTTCATACGACTTGGGGTCCAGGTAAGATCCAGAAATGACTTCTATGCCTCGGGCTGCAAAGTCGGAAAATTTAGAGACCTTGGCGGGATCTGACAAGATGGCAATCCTGGAAAAGGAAGCTTTTTGCTTGATGAATTCCTCCATAAGAGGTCTACCAAACGCGCCGCCTGCACCAATAACGAGAACTGAAGGAGCCATTGTTATGTTTTGTTGCGTGGTCGATTTGATAAGAGAGGGATGTGTGAGTTGTGAGAGTATAAGACGAATGCGACAGAGGTGTATTTTTTATTTTCTAAGGAAATAAAAAGTTTGAGAATTAATTGCTCCTCTTCCCCTGTTTATATAGTAATTGTTTTATCACATTTATATCCGTAATACTACCCAACTGCGTCGTATCAACCAACGTGCATTGGCAATGTCATCATAGCCGCAACATTAATAATGAGCAGACGATATGCTATAAGCCTCAAGTGGCACTGGAGCTCCGGGTACAGTGCGACGTCTTGGAGTTCAAATGTGCCGCTTCACTACCTGATGCGCCTCTCTTTACTCTTTATTACTTTCCACAATCTCCAAATCACGGTAAAAAGTTTATAAGAGATATTATAAACCAGTGAATGAGATAGATATACCGAATGTATATAGAAATACAATGCCATAGCTTTTTTGCAATATCTTCCAATGGGAAACATATTGATGCACATATTTCTTGATACTATAGAGTCCAAAGTATCAAAACTAACAGTCTTATCACATTTCACATTAATTACAGTTTGCATATCCGGTTGACAATCATATACGACATCTTAATTATTAAATACTCAGCCCAAACACCAGCCAAGCCAGCATATGAATTACTTTCGTTGATCTAACAATGACATGATACGGTGTGGATACACCAAGAACCAACGCCATCAATCATGCCGCTACTGATATCCCGGCACTAATCACAACCTTGGCTGGGTCTCAGTGGGGCAGTCGCCATATTTCTCAGGTACTTTCATGTACTCCAAGTCAGATCGTGGCTCTCGCTTTGTACATCCAGGTAGGCAAAGTCGTCTTAATCCATTTCCCCTATCATCCCTATTCTCATCACTTATCAATCTTTTGACACATTACTTTGGTTCAAGAGCAGTAACTCCTTTCTTAATGTTTCTAGAAGGATTGAATTCTAGGCTAAGCAGGTGCACATCGCCGAAGTCACGATGCTAATCGCCGAAACCGTCTCCTGTAGTCTCATAGACGCTGATTCTGTGTAATGATTCTGTGTAAGTCAGCTGTGGATTGTTCAACGAACTTTCGATCACACTATATGCTTGATAAAACCTCGTAACAGTAGGAACTGAAGCTTTATTTGCCCGCCTCAAATACAAACCGGGCTGTTGGGTCACTTTTTTAGGAAATACTTGAAGACATTCCGCCTTCTACATGTAGGCATTTCCTAATTGGGTCATTAAAGAACAAAGTACAGTCGTAGTTGGCGCGAGGAAACAAACATGCCGTGTTATCTAGAATAGTTAACGGTTATTGAATCACCATCCGAAGAGTAAACAATTACGTGTATCAATATGATATCTACAGATACTATATGGTATTTGGTAAGCACGCATACGCAGGTGTTCGTGCAAACACAGATCGGCGTCAATGCTTAAAAGTCCCGATCTGCTATGATAACCAGCATTCGCCAAACTTGCTCGTCTAGCGCAAGTGGTCCTGGTTCGTCAGTCAGCACTATCTCCTTCCAATCTCTTAGATTCGTACACGTATTCCTGCTCTCGGATTCGGATTCAAAACTGATAGTCAAATCCTTCTCGTAACTATCCTGGTGACGAGCTCTCAAGCTGAAACGGTATTGGCTCGTTCATATTTATTGTTGCCGTAAATAGTTCTCAACTTGTAGTTGCGCCGGCTTGGCAAACATTTCGTTGCCTCTTTGGCAGCGCTCGTATCAGCTCAGGCGTAAGACCTACGGGATTTATTTCAAGCCACAAACGGGATGCTTGACTAAGCAGAGGGTTTGTAAAACCGCCAGGCGAAAAGAAGAGGGGCAGTGACATGAATCCAAATAGTCTATTCAGCATAGATGTCGGGAAGAACACCAGAGATTAATAATTATCTTAGCATCTGGTTTCGTGCATCGTGTTTTATGCTCGCTTAGAACAATCGCCTTTCTCAACTCTGATAACCTCTTTCTATCATTCGGGTCCTACTATCTTCAACACAAGGTCCCAGCAATATTGTCAACTCTGTAGATCCAGACTCCTCCTTAACTAACCACTAAGCGCGTCAAGCCCGAAGAGCGCGAAGATGAGTGGAGATGAAATATACGGGACTTCCGGATTCGTCCACAACAATGGTACGCATCTGTTTCATGAGTTATTCCTTGTCGCAGCCATTAATTCGGTGCCTAGTAACGTTCAATATTCCCTCTCGGTCCTACGATCAGAGATTCACCTACACCGATGAGTATGATGTACAACCACTCGAATTCATCGCTGTCACGGGAACAGAAGCAGATGAACGCAACAAAAATGTGTCGAGACGCATTCGCAGTCAAGCTATGCGCAACTATGTCTGGAGACAAAACCATCCAACAACAACAGACGAAATGGCTGCAGCAGCCGCGGTCCCGCTCAAAGTAAAGTCGCAGCAAAAGTATGAAGGGAAGTTTCGAATTGGCTCGCGGCCACGCAAGACAAAAAAGCCTACAAAAGTAAAGCTCGCTATTTTGGAATCAATAACAACTTCAGAATCTGAACAGGACCAAGATGTAAGAAAGGCTCTTTTGCGTTACTCAAAATGGTCCATTCGACAAAGCCTCATGCCTGATAAGAACCTGTTGATGAGAAAAGGTGCAAACTCGGATCCCTTTAACGCATTCTCTTTTCCAATGGGGCCTGAAAGCGAACAGTTTATTTTTTATTGTGAGTCAACTGTTACGACCCCGCACGATTAATGCATATTTTACATCTTTCTCAATACCTCATGTTGCTACTTGCGTATAAACAACCGCGTATTAATTAGCCTGTTTGAGCATAGATCAAAAGCATTATGCTGTTAACTGTATTGCTCTCAACCTATCACCAGACTGTTGGTATTTCGTCAGAGAGGAGCTTGCATTATTCCATGCGGTTCTGTATCTCGTCTCTCTAGATTACAATATGAAATACGGTCTAATCGACTCTCCTGGGAGCCTCTTCCATGGGAGAGAGGCATTTCGATTGATCAACGAGGCTATCAAAGATAATGCGATAAGAGATACTCTCATTGCAGCCGTTTCATTAGTCATTACGAGAGAGGTAAGAGTGCCCTATGATGTCGATTATTTGTCTACTTTTACCCATGTCTTTTACTGAATTGGTTAATTTCTAGAATCTCGCTGGCAAATTTGACCTGGCCAAAATTCACATGCAAGGTCTCCAACTGATGGTTCATCAGCGAGGAGGCATACAAAATGTCGAAAGCATCCATAGAAATGTGATAACATGGTCAGCGCATACTACAAAACCACACTCGTTCAAATGCTTATGCCTTCTAGGGCCGATTTATGCTACTCAAACATCTGGGACTGCAAGCCATCTTTTCCTCTCCTACCTCTGAAACTTACCGGAACTGAGGCCGAGCTGCCCACGGGCATGAAAAGTATGACGCTCTCTCCAGCGCGCACTTTCGGCTCCGGTTCGCTCATAAACTCAATCTTCCGGTCTCTCAGACGCTTATCTATCGCATTCTGCCCAGAGTATGATGCTCGCCTAGATGGATCGTCAATGAGCAACCAAATATATAGCGTCGAATACGATCTTCTCACTCTCCAAAACATCAACCTCGAAGCTCTGAATGCCAGCGAATATCTCTCATCTAGCTCTGTTTTGATGAATATCGCGGCATATATTTACCTCTATCTCATTTTAAGAGAACTTCCAGTCAGATCAAAGATATTCCACACCCTCTTTCAGCGATTACGAGATTCTTTGGAGATGCAGGATACAGAATGGTGGAATCTGGCTCCTGAGAGACAACGCTGGTTGCTATGGGTCGTATTTATGGGGTATGGAGCTGCCTCAGAATGGGATGAGAAATGGCTGTTTGTAGAAAGGATGGAGCCGCTGGGTGCTGCACTAATGCTGAGTACAAAAGAAGAACTTCGATCTGCGTTTCAAGGAGTTATTTGGCACGATAGGTGTGAAGAGTTTTTGGAAAAGCTATGGAATGACATATCGCATCGCAAAGGAACTAAGACGGATAGCTAGTGATGTTGGAGAAAGTAATTGATACATTACCTGAGGTTAAGATGCTTCGTGATAGGTCATCAATGACGCAGGACTTTGGAATTATTTCTTAGAGATTGTCATAGTTTACTTGCTGATTACTTCCAAACCGTATGTATTCCGTGTAAGGCGACTTTCTCATGCCATGCTCAACGAACTTTCCCTATGCAAGGGCAACTCCCTATCACCGAGTTTGTGGCAACTACTGAAAGAGTTCACAACCCAGTTTATTGTACAAGCTTCCCTCTACCCTGTGCGGTTGTTTACCTGGACCAATTTTGCAACTGTTAGATCAAATAATAACGGACTGTGTGTAATATACAAGTATTTCAGACAAAAGTCAATCCTTGTATAGCTTATATAGACATAGGCCTTTCATAATGGGCTCAATCTCGTCAAAAAAATCTGTCACACGCCAAACAAGCACCCAAAAGTCAGTAATTTTACGTTAGTCCTGCTTTGATTGAGGGATATGAGACTCCTCCGCAACGTGATAACGAGAGGTAATGCTGGATCCAATGGAAGTCCGATCAGGCGGCGAACATTCGCGGATACCCCTCTCGTTACTCCTCGAGTTGAAACCAGTTCAAAGGGATGAACCATGCCTTATCAAACAGTTCTTGGTCTTCCCGGTTGACCGCGCCGGTCCGGACGCGGTCTTCTAGCGAGCCTACCATCTGTCGGCACTTATCGATCACCAGCACCCGCAAGCTTACGTAGGCTCCGTGGCTCAGGGAGGATACTATGCCGTAGCCTGCAAATACCGCAGCAGCAGCAGCAACGATGCTTGAAGCCGTGTTAAAGTGCGCGTGGTGGATGAAGTAAGCACCAGGTAACACGGCGGAGCTGCATATGGGTTTGCCCAAAGACGATTAGCCACTGGAACCTCACCACCATTTCCTGACATGGCTGCGGAGAAAGAGAAGGGAAGGCAAACGAACTAAGCCAGCGCTTTCTTCATACACCGATAGCCCGTGATCCTTTCCTCGTCCGCGACTAAAATGCTGAAGATGCGCTGTATCGTAAGCAGTTCGCGGACAGCCTTATCGTGCTCGACCTTCAGCCGCCATCTGTCTTTGCTGCCGTTGGACTTGAAAAGGCTCTCGTCGAGTTGATTTCGGCCTGCCATCACCACACAGTTAACCCACACGTGTTTTTGAGTATGGACATCTTGAGTCTTCAACTTACGTTTGCTATGGCCCAACACCGCAGGGTCGCCATCTGCATTTTCACAGCGATCCCAAAACTTGATATATTGGCCCACGTGCCACTCTGCAGAGCGTTTTATGACCTCGAACTCTTCCCAGAGCGCCACTTCGTCGAAGCTGCGATCGATTCCAGGGATGCGCTGATGGTCGTCGGTGCCTGTTGGCACGCCCAATACCCCGCATTGCGGTTCGGAAGATACTAAGAGACGGAGAAGGCTCATTTCTGGGGTGAGTTGACTGCTGGTTTGTTCCATGTTTAGTGCTCAAGAGAAGAGCAGCCTGAGGATAGATGTTGGTGGTTAGTGGAAGGAGCAGAGGTACTACTGGATCGTTCTTAAAGGAACTCTGTCATGATATCTCTGTCTTTGTTTGTCAGTGGGTCTCATGATGGCTACCAATCAAGGCGCTCTGTGCTACTAACAACAAACAAGGGCCTTTGTACTACCAATAACATAGATGCCCCGTGTGCCCAAAAGCTAGGAACCGGCGATGGCTCCTCCCATGTGTCAAAACAACTCTCGTTGTCTTTTGTTGAGTAGTATTGCTTGCTATCTATCTCTCAAACTCCGCTTCTGACATGAGCCAACAACCTCCAAGCTACAAGGATGGACAGGAAATTCCTCCCATTAATTCGGACGCACTACTCCTGGTCAGATTGGAGGTCTGGCACTATTTTAAGCTTGGCAGGTCTCCAATCCTCAACCACGACTTGGCCCAGCTGTTTATCGCACTCGAACTCGCAAACTGGACTGTGAAAGAAGTTGAAATTGTTGAACCAAAGGGTCTTGCGAGTCGTGACGAGTTCGTTCCGGTTCAAGTAAGTGCTCTTTCCTTCCATCCTCCAGTAGGCAGGGAACTAGGTAAAGAAAACTGGTTTTGTAGTCATGACTAACACGAGTAATCTGGCTTTCAGGTTGATTTCGAGCACAGACGCTACACCGATAACGATCCCAATGGAAGGGCTCAATATGATGTCCGAGAGCTCTTCCGGCACAATGCCCCGGCGCTCATCTTCCAGTTTTTTCTTAAAATTGGTAGCAAGCCTCACATTATGAACCTGTTCCCTCTCAACGTACCACAGCTCCACAAGAATAGATACGTCCAGATTTTCCCTATAAACAAGCTGAACATAACAAGCCAAAGGCTTTTGAAGCCTGCAGAGGTGGAAGATACCAAGGCTATTGCCACTCTGTATATCTCCCCAATTTCTGTGATAAAGTGTGTAAGTCTTCCATCGCTAACCTTGAAAGGCTCTCCACTCTCGATGACGGCCTCTCAGCCCTATCCCATGTTGTGGGGGTATTCGACTTATATTCGGATCTAATGGGCCAGAACGAAACTTCTTCCGCCTTTACAAATATCGTAGACGCTGAAGATATGTTCAGGTGTGCTGCTACCATCTTTGATGCCATTGGCTCGCCCGTCACCGTTATTCGTAACGTGAGAACCCACTTGGTTTACCCCACAATGACGGTTAACTGACGGATCACAGCTGAGACAGTCCTACGAGGCCCAGGTAAACCAGGCAGCAGCCAGTGAACCAGCACACCTCTTTGCCTGGCAGCTGGCTGTAAATCCGTTCTTTGAGTACCAAGTCAGGTTTTCCGGTATTGCGAGAGACCTTCAGCAAATACAAGTTGGTGAAGGTGGGTAGTTCTTTATTTCTGTCTTCATGGGTTACTAAATTAATAATACCTAGTCGTTACTCCTCAGTCAATGTACGAAACAGCTTTAGGTCTTCATGCCAGTAGCCTCCTGTTCACCAAGGCTAAGAAGTCCCTAGAGCCACAACTGGTTAACCAGCTTGATCTTTATACGAGAGACATGATCCAGCTTAAAAATGTCCGCAATATTGGCGGGTTAGCTACTGGTTTAGCTGCAGTCGCTGGAATCTTTAAGGGAACTGGGATTGGGGGCGCCAGCATCCAATCCTTGGTCTCACATTTGCCCCTTGGGTGGTGGAGCATTGGCGCGATATTCATCGGTGGGATCATCGTAGGTAGCTGCGCACAGTCCGACATCAAGACCAGTCTCAAGAAGAAGGAAATGGTTCAAGAGTGTGAGTCCCCATCCATTTTAGCCGTATATTTACTCTAACTTCTGGTAAGTTAATTATGACCTACAAGTCATAACCAATGCGGCCAACGAGGCGCGGAAAGACTTGGTCACAATCATATGCAAAAAGAATTTCAACATTGAGCTCTCCAAACTAGGAGACCACGAGAAGAACGCAATTCTGGAGAGCTTTGGAGTTGATGTCAGTGCGATCCGGCACAAGGAATATTGCGAGGCCCTCACCGGGGGTGGCACCAGCAAGCTCCTGGAGTTCTATAGGAGGTTAACTGCGGATTTCGATCAGATGAGAAAGGCTTGCGGATTTGGTGTTGTCGTCGAAGAGAGCTGAGCGAGCGTTGTTTTATAGACAGATATACAACGAATTGGATTGTTAAAGCCAGAATATCTGTAGATGCAGATTATTTTCTTCAATGTTAATGACTACCTTTTCCGCTCAATGGACTATGAGGACTGTATTAGAAGTTCTATATTTGTTCCATCGTAGGAAAATGAGTCGTACAGTGATAACAGCAGAAACATGTCACCAATTGATGCAGCCTGACCTTGTATAGCTCTCATGTAGTTCGGCATCACATATCCGTAATATATCACTAACAGCATCCAACAGCATCTAACAGCTCTTTATTATTACCGAAGCATTGAGAAATAATCTCTCCCATGTATTACTAATTAATGGAGCTTTGCAGTGCGGGCAACCTTTTATAACTCGTGGCCTCCGCGCTCATCACTTGCGTGGCACTTGGTCTTATAAGTTTCTACACCTCATTTCGCTCTCAACGATACTTTATAACTGTTATTTTCATGTAAATATTCTTAGCTTTACTAGTCGTTTAAAAACCTAACCACGTACATTACAGAAACCGGCCCTAACAGCAGTTCCACGTGATACTCATTTCCTATAGGAGTGAGCGATACCGCGAGGATACCCAAAAGATGATCATCTCTATAGTATGTGACATACCTGGATATTTGAGACAGTGTTTATCCTTTCTAGCTGCATCCGATATTGTTTCCATTGTGATGGAAGGCAATGAGAGATTGGAAGGTAGTGAGAGATTCGATATATTGACCGTTACGCTTCATGAAGCCGCTGGCTTTCCTATTCCAGATCAGTTTCAGGAAGCCCTTGATAAGGCATTAGCGATGATAGCCATTTCGTTCATGCCAAAACGTTCATCGAAGATAATGAGGGATGGGGGATTATTGAAAACGAAGGCTGGGGCTGTTTGGGATAGTCCGGATTGAGCGTTTTACTTCCGCGACCGCTTTACCGATGCAAAGGAAATAATCACAGCCTCCCGTTACCGATATCGACCTCCTACTGCTCATCAGCTCACCAGCGATCCTACACACAATCCGGTTTCTAACAAGCCACCTACTCAAGAAGCTAAGCATGATGCACTTGAGGCGATTTTGAAGAGGGGATTTCAACATTTGGTTCCCCAACTTCTTCAAGAACACGGCATGGACGTGAATGTTTACCTTTTTTCCCTGAAGTAACTCCATTGTATCATGCTGTTGAATTGGAAGATGTTCAATTAGTAAACGTGTTCCTTGATGCAGGAGCCGAGTCAGATATGAATAAGACTTTGGAAAGGGTTCCTTTGATCAAAGCAGTTGAGAAAAGCAACGAAGAACTGACAGTACTATTGGTTCAGAGAACAAGCCGTGTCAATTGCACTCTCGCTCTTGGTCAAGCAGTGAGACAACAGGCCAGTGAAATTGTCAACATCTTACTGGCGCATGGCGTCAAATGCGACTTTGAAGAATCGGATCGGCCACCTCCGCGTCCTGTAATAGACCTAGGGGGGTGCACTTTTGGGTTGAAACATAGTACTCCCATTGACTGGTTTATGCCACCTCTCGTTTACGCAGTCTAGCTAGGTAACAAGGATCTGGCGCGACTTTTACTCGCCCAAGGTGCTGATGCCAACGTTGGTTATCATGACTTGCCTAGTAGGAGGCCTCTAAGAAGGGACTGCGGTAGACCTATACAACTGGCAATGGAACTAAAGCATCATGGCATTGTTCAGTTGTTGCTTGGTTATGGCGCAGGTGTCTGCCTTGCGCAGCCAACCAGACGATCTCACTCATGTTCGATGATTTCGAGGGAGGAGCATTTAGAAGTTACCGCTGCTTTGATGGAAGCAATAGCGTCAAGAAATGTTCAAAGCTTAGGCTCCTATTTGACAGATACAGTGAATTGAGAGAAGCTGCTAGCTAGACGCTTTGACTACCATTCCGAAGAGGACGTTTATTAATGAAATTGTGAATTGTTTTAAGCCATGAGAGATGAAAATGCAAGTTTACTTCAAAAATGCGTACCTATCGTTTCTCGCGCTCCTGTTTCGCTGTCTGTTGTAACAGTGAGTTTGTGAATAAAAACTTGACGCAGCACATTCTCTTTTAATGTTGCAACACATGGTTTAATCTCCCTAATACTGGCAGACATTCTGACCGCGCAACGTGACCTAGTACTGATTTCTAATGCAACTCTCTCATCATTCTATGATTAGTCTACAGCATGGCGATTCAATGTCTGTTTCGACTCCACCAATGTCCTAATGCGGGATAACTAACTAGCGTCGCTCAGGTCTGGCTTCTTAAACTTCATCCCAAAGAAGATGGCTTTAAGCACCAATGCCTTCATTATCCTAAATAGTTATATCTGAAATTGAAGACAGAGCAGCCTGTACTGACTTTTAGAGATAATCCAGCGCGTCAAAATGGCTGGTCAATATGTAGGTAATCCTTACAAAGCTAACCACTAGACAAACACTGATTTTACACAACATCGTAGCAGGTGCAAATACAGCCAGCAATACTTCCATCACAATATGTGCAACGAATCATCTGCATGAGTTAATCTAGTGTTACACTTAATGTGTGACCACAGCCTAATAACATGGCTGATTACATATTCCCATCCATCTTGACAAGGCTCATCAATCCTAAGTTCTTTGTAAATGCAACTTTAAAGCTCAAAATGTAAAATTTGAGTAGGTAATGGTGTTGTGTATATTAATCATGAATATTGTAAAGCTGGAAATAGTTCAAACTCTCTTATAAAGCTTGGTAAGACTTGGTCGCTTAGAAATAGTTTTCTTAAATGATGCGGGACTTTCTGCGCGCATAGACTGCACCATACTATTGTACTATACAAACGGTGGCACTGCAAATCTTCATGCCTAGTAAACACCGCTTCATGTTGGATGTAGGACGCTCAAAGCTGAATAATTCAGAAGCTCTTATAAATCAATACTAAACTATGTGATTGTGTAGAAAGAACAGAATGTGCCTTGGCTATGAGGGGGCGAAAGGGGATACAAAAGGCCAAACTTGTTATGGAGTGCTTCTTCTATCACTTCAAACAGAACACGATTGACCACCGTTTTCATAACAATCCTACTATACTCCATTCTTCGTCATCTCAGAAATAATGACCGCTTATAAAAACGTCGCAATCGCTGGCAGCACAGGCATTTTGGGACCCTCAGTAGTCGAGGCCTTCCAAAAGTCCCGACACTTCAACATCACATTACTTGCAAGGGCAAATACCATTGATGCCGTCAGGGCCCAATTCCCCAGTGTTAAAGTCGCACAAATCGACTACGATTCTCCCGAATCCCTCACCAAGGCCCTTCAAAACCAAGATGCTGTCGTGTCGGCGCTGAACCACGAGCTTCATAAGCCGCAAATCGCTCTCATTGACGCGGCGATCAAAGCTGGCGTGAAACGATTTATTCCTTCCGAGTACGGAGCTGACGCGAGTATTCAAGAAGTTCGCAATGTTCCGTACCTCCGAGGCAAAGGAATCGTTCAAGACTACCTCACCAAGTCCGGCTTGTCGTATACATTCCTATATACTGGGCCATTCCTCGAATGGGCAATATTAAAGGGCTTTTTCTTGAACCCTGACAACGCTGACGCTCACGTATGGAATGGAGGAGACATCCCCATCGGCACAACGCTGTTATCAGATGTCGGTTTAGCAATTGTCAACACCTTGCTGAAGCCTTCTGAAACCGAAAACCGCCATCTATACGTCGCTTCTCACGTTACAACGCAAAATGAGATTCTGGCCGCTGTCAGAGAGACGCACCCAGAAATTAAGTTGTCAATTGTTCCCCGCGACTTGGAGGCCTCGCTGGCTGCTGCGTGGGAGGCCGATAAAGCAGGCCGATCGGGCGAGCCTGGATTTATTCGCGACTTTCTCTCCGCCTGCCTATATAAATTTCATCGGAAGTATAAAATTGATGACCAGAGAGACAATGATTTGCTTGGGGTTAAGACGTTAAGCGAAGAGGAATTTAAGCAAGTTGTTGCAAAGGCTCTAAATTGAGAATGCTTGACTAGCTGTGCAACAGTTGTTCCTTTAAGAGGCAAGAAGAATAGGTTTGGTGTCCAAAAGTCGACTCCATACATTTATCTGTCAATCTATGTTATTCTATGATGCAATGCAAGTATAGCAAATAGCATCTTGTTCGTGATAGTAGATTTCTTTTAGCATCATACCAAGTACTCCCATTACTCGCCCAAGGCAGCAGAGAATCTGTTCTTCTCGCAGTACTCCCTGAAAGATGTCATTCTGATTCCAAGCTATTCATGTCAAATCAGTACATTTTCCATAATAAAGGTTAATAAACGCGTTACTCACATCGCCAGGCCCAACAATCCCGGGTTCATTCCCCTCATAGCCAAAGTCAAACGCAAACAGAACGTTTAACCCAAACTCGTGGCCCAGTCCACCCGGTAAAAGCGCGTTAACTTCGTCGTAAGACATCCCGTCATAGCCTCCATATTTGACCCCCTGTGTCTCGCAGAAAATGCGGAGATAATCTGTCCAGGAAAGGTAATCGCCTACGGCAAAGAGGTTCGTGTTGGGGGGTGCTTGCTCAGCTAGAACTTTGACGCAAGGGCCGAGATCGGTCCGTACGTTTCCAAAGGGAATCGGCTTGTGTCCAGGACCAACACCCTTCATACGATAAGTACCATCGGCTTGCTGAGCGGAACAAAGTGTTAGTTGGGAAGAGTTGGAGAAGTTGAAGTTTCATGAGAAGCTACCTTCTGTGGAGTAATTGGTAGGCCCCACTCCGTTCCTACTTGGAAGTAGACTGGAGCTTGAACTTGTGAGAATTTGCCTTTCAAGGCTGGAAGGCTCTGTGCATAGGTCGCAGCATGGGCTTTGGAGTCCATATGGTACAGCTTGGTGTACTTGCCACCACTAGATTTCGTCGCATCAGCCATGGAGCTAAAGATGTATCTCTCCAGCGTCGCCGCCGTCGAAGCCGCAGCGTCAGCGATGTTCTTGCCATGCCGCAGCTCAACTTCGTAGCAGTAGGCAACAAGTTCCTGATCCGGCGCTTTCAGCTCCGAGTTGCGAGGATCCTTCCAGATGGTCCAGAAATCAGTCACACCAAAGATGACGCTGGCTCCCTGGAATGCTCGCTCGAGGGACTTGACGTCGTCGAGGTCGCCCTTGACGATTTCGACTCCCTTGGCTGCCCATGCTTTGGCGGCGTCGGATTCGGGGTTGCGAGTGACGCCGCGGAGGGTGTAGCCTGGGGATTGGAGAAAGGTGTCGGCAACTGAGCTTCCCTGGGTATGGTGTTAAAATTGAATTTGAGTTGTGAAATGGTGCAATTCGCTTGGGAAACTAACCTGAACACCAGTGATTCCTGTGATTACGACGAGCTTAGACATATTTTACTCTTTGAGAGTTGTCAATTGTTGGAATAGGCTATTAGTGTGATATATGGTATGTCGCAAAGAAGATTTAAAGGTCACAGATTCTCTTAAAATAAAGACATCTCTAGTAGGAGGTGAGAGAGTTTAATATACTTATGAAATAGATTGAATATTAGTATTCCATAGCAACAACTGCAAAGCCATCTCCTCTTAGCAATCAACAACACCGTTGCTTTGCAACATCTACCAAAAAAATGACATTTACCATGAATCCATCAACAAACCTGATTTCTAATACCTGTCAGCGCCTACTCGCGAAAAGTTTCCCAGGCTTTGTGAGCTTGAAGCTTGAAGCACGACTAGGAAGACCAATATCCCAATTGGGAATACGGCGGAGGGAATCTCCATTTGCCCTTTTGGGAAGTGGCGGGCTCAATCTATTGGCCGCACAGCTTGGTGTGGTCACTCAACACCGACTAGAATCCAAGATCTTCGCGCTTCAAGGGCTTAAAATAAGGATTTGACGGAGTAATTGGTTTATAAAGTGGAACGAAGTAAACTGTAACCCAGCTGAGTTTACAGATTAGCAGAACGGCAACAGGTGAAGGAAGCTGACTCGTGGGGAGGACTATTGTGTTTAAGCTTATAAGCCAACCGATAGAAGCCGGCCGAGATCAACTTGGATCTGGGAAAAAATCAGAAATGATATAAATAGATGACCGTTGTTAAGGTTAGCGACGAACTCATTAATAACATTTGATGCCATCGCAGAAACCTCTTCCTTGAGCCAAATTGCTGTGTGCTTGGCAGAAAATGTGACACCTTTGCATATACTCTTCATGTCTCTTCACGCGTATCATGGCACTCATAATGTGTTGAATATCTATTAATACTTCATATTATGTATATGTGTGTGCATATATGTATGGGTATATACAAGAAAACATGCATTATATCGTAACGCTTTAGCAAAAGATTTACAGAGGGACAGGGACGTTCCTCTGAAGGTAGCCGCGCCAGGTGGGCAGGGTTCGCTTATAAGGTTGTTTACTACTCTTCTGCAGATCCTCAATGGCGCTGGCATACTTGATCAGCTGAGCCTCGCCAAAGGCAGTCTGCAGGATAGCCAGGCCAAAGGGCATGCCAGAGTCGGAGTGGATACCGGCAGGAATGGTGATGGCAGGGTAGCCGGCTTGGGCAGGGATCTGAATGCTCTGGGCGACATCAGGAGGGACCAGAAGGCCATCAAGCTTCTTGCCGTTGTAAGTGAGAGCATCATTGATGCCCTTGCGGGTGGAGGACTGGCAAAAGTTCAGGGCCTGCCAGTAAGTCTCATCCTTGATACCCTTGGTCTCAAGAGAAGCGAGGAAGCCATCCTGGCCGGACCAGAAAGCAGGGTTGCCGTTGGGCATGGGGTAGCCACCCTCGGAGCCGGTGAACTGGTTGTTGTAGTCAACAAGATCCTCTAGAGAGCGCATGTTGGTGTTGTTGAGCTCGGCCAGGTAAGTCTTGATGTTGTTGTAGAAGTCAACCTTGATATAGGTGTACTCGGACTCGTTGGGGAAGCCACGGGTGGTGCCGTAGTCCCAGTTCCAGCCGTCGGGGCTGACGAGGGTCTGGTAGTTGGTAATCTCGGTGTTGTTGATGACGGTGGCACCGGCAGACTCAATGAGCTTGACGATGCTGGTAAGGATCTTCTGCTGCTCGGGATCGGCATAAACCCAGAAGCTCTGCCAGGGGAGACCGAAAGTGGCGCCCTTGAGGGCAGTGCGGTTAGACAGGAACTGGGCGTATCCGCCCTTGGGGGTCAGACCCTGCTGGGCCAGAGTGTAGTTGTCTCTGGGGTCGACGCCGTAGATGGCATCAAGAGCATAGGTGGCGTCGCGGACAGTGCGGCCAAAGGTGCCGACGGAATCCTGGTGCTCAGACTCGGGAATGACGCCCGCGCGGGAAGTCAGACCAACAGTGGGCTTGATGCCAACAATGGCGTTGCGCTGAGCCGGGTTGATGACTATATAGGTTCCATGATTAGCAGAGAACAAGAAGATTATTGCCTCGACTTTACTCACCAGATCCATCCGTCTCTGTGCCCAAAGCAAAGGCAATGACGTTGGCTCCAACACCGACACCGCTGCCAGAGCTGCTGCCACCGGGGTTGACAGTCAGGTTGTAGGCGCTGCGGACCTGGCCACCACGGCCGGAGTAGCCCTCGGAGTAGTTGTTGCTGCGCATATCAGCCCACTCGCTGAGGCCAGCCTTGCCGAAGAGCACGGCGCCGGCGTTGCGCAGCTGGCTGACGACATGCGAGTCCCGCGGCACGATGTTGCCCAGGAGGGCCCAGCTGCCGGAGCACGTCTCCAGGTTGTCCTTGGAGGCGATGTTGTCCTTGACAATGAAGGGGATGCCGTGCAGCGGGCCACGGACCTTGCCGCTCTTGCGCTCCGCATCTCGCTGCGAGGCAATGGCGAAGGCGTCGGGGTTGATCTGGATGATGGCACTGGAGATGAGATTAGCCAAGGCTCAACGCAAGATGTTTGGACGGACAGGTGAATAGATCTCTAGATGGATGCATGGATGGGCACGCAGATGGACAGATGGGTGAGCATGGCTTATGTGAGACGAGGCGCCAAGAAAAGGAACAGCTCGTGTTCTCTCCCCTTGTCCAGCCGTCTTCGTCTCACCACCACGGCAAGCCACCCGTGCGGCGCCCAGCCCAGAAGCGACGAGATCGACCCGACGGCACGGTAGATCGATCCAATCCATCGAATCCTCCTCTTAAGCGAGATTTGGAGGCGTCCAACTTACTTGAGGTACTGCTGCGTCTGGAACTGGCGCGTCATGTAGCAGCTGACCAGCTGCACCGACGACAGCGTGCCGTTGGCCATGGCCGCCTGCATCTGGTCGATGGTGGCCTCGTGCAGCTTGAAGCCGAAGCAGTCGGCCATGGGGAACAGATTGTCCGAGCCGGCGTTCTTCTCCAGCGGAATCAGGTTGGGCGTCATGGGGAACACCTGCGAGACGTCGAGGGCCGCGACGCCCGCGACGAAGGCGGCCGACCAGGCGAATTGGGAGCGCATGGCGAAGAAGGAAACAGGCAGAAACAGACAGAGACGGAAGGGTGAGGAGCAACAAAGGAGGAAACAAAAAGAGGAAACAAGAAAAAAGGGAGGCTCTCGCCGAGACTATAAAGGGAAACGAAGAAGAAGCGCGAAACCGCAGACGAGACGTTGGTTTCAACCGCAGCTACTGCACCAGCCACTAGCAAGGAATCATCAGCTGGCGGTGGGCAAAACGAGGCCTTGCCACTTCCATCAATGCAGAATGGATCAAGCAATTACGCCAAGGCGAGGGCGCCACGCAGCGATCGGATAGACGGCTGCGGCTACTGCGAGGACGAAGCCCATCTCCATAAAATGCGAATGGGGAAAATGAAGAATGCCCAGAAGATGAACGGTGACAACTCCGCCACTGGCATGTTTTTGCAGCTCTCAGCGGTCGGCGTGCATATTTCCAGCGCGTTTAGCGACTGCTTACAGGGGGCCGGCTCTGTTCCCTGCTGGCCACGCGCGCCAGATGGAGCTCCAGGCTGCTTAGTTTCAGGGCGGGCCATTCCAGAGGCGGCTTGGAACTGGGCAAAAGAGGCCAAGTCGAGAAAGCGGTTTGCCCGCTACTGATGACACTTGACAGTCCGTCTTAACCGAGTGAATCGCCTCTCTTCTTTCTTCTACCTCTTTTTTCTTTGTCATTGAATTTGAGAAGAAACTGGGGTTCTTGGAATAGAGAGCTCCAAATACGGCATATGTCGAGACGCTAAGCTTTCAATGGTTCTAGTAAATCGACTTGATGAAATGACATTTATAGTTTAAAGTGCTAGCCAAGAAATGAACAAGGCAGCAAGCCCAATTCAATCGGCGGTATCATATATACACGTACTTGACAACTACTATGGAATTGCAAATAGTGGCAAGGCGGGAGATGATTCAGATAGAGAGCGAATATCAAGGACGGGCAACTGCGCCTTGATTCACAGCACAGACCCACGAACCATTCTTCCAAAGATCCTTTGAGAAAGCCCCATTTGCTCTGAAGAAAAAAGAGAAAGAAACAAGAGCACAGAGCACAGAAAGCGGGAACTGGTGCGGTGGCTCGAGCGCGGGCCTTCCGGCCGAGCCGGCGAAATCATCGGACAATGGAGCCGAGACTGGGACAGGACAAGAGACGGTCACCAACGCTGTTGGCTCGGCCTCAGGTAGGTCAGTGCAGGAGACTAAAGATTGCTGAAGATTTCCAGAAATGGAATCACCATTGAGAGCAGTTTAGCTGGGCCGCGGCGTGGCTTGTGGGCGCATCACCACCCGCCATCAGATCGGCTCACAACCAACCAACTGGAAGCATCAATCGCTCTTCTCTGGCTCTTCCGCAGACCTTCCAGCTGCCAGCCTACTGAATGAACCACTCAGGAACGCTCGTCCCCTTTCTTCGTCCCGCATGCAGCTAGGCCGCGCATCCATCGTGCATCGCAACTGACTCGGCCACGTGGAGTCCATGTCTCCTTTGGGCACGTCGTGTTAGTCAGAATCACCAGATGGTCCCTTTTCCGTCGCACAGGCAGTTCGCCGAACTTCGTATCCAGCATGGGCTCCCTTGAGCACTAGCAGCGGCGTACTCTAGTTGCATGAAGCCATCTCTCACAAATCACAAAAGCAGTCAATAGTTTGCACATGGGGGATCATTAGTCGCGTATGAACGTTTTGTTTTGCATCCATGCACACTTGGCCACGCTTTTTATCGTCTTCTAAAGTTCTCTATGGGACAATCAAAGCGTGGGATGAAAAAAAAAAAAAAATAGAAGCTGTCCATCCGGGTATCACACCTCCTTGAGTCTTATACAATACAACAAACGGCCACTAGCCTAGACTAGCAGATGAACCCCATCAATCCTACATGCGAGCCGATTGGCTCATCGCCATCGTGCTTTTCCCATCATTCATTGCAAGGCATATCGATGAGTGTAAACATTAGAGGTTTATGCGTTGAAATAACGCAATAAACCAAAATAAGAAGAAGAAAAGTGAAGAAAAAAAGATTAAGAAAAATTGCGCCAAACAAAACAAGTCGTATCTGAGTAGGAAATCAAAACTTTTCTTCTTCTATCGGCTATTCAGGCTCGGTGTGGTCGTATTCACTCGAGCCTCTTTGATATCAAAGTCGACCTGAACGTAGATTCCGTCGCCGCCTTCGCCATGCCTGCTGCCAGCCATAGCCGAAGTCTCAGCGCCGTACTTTTGGCCCTCCTCCTGTTCGCTCCCCAGTATGCTGTGCTGGCTGTTGGTCTGGAATCGCAGGTTGCTCAGAGCAGTGCCTCGAGAGCGAAAAGAGCTGGTTTTGCGTCCATAGTGGGACGCGCCGCTCGTCTGTGAATCGTCCTTTTTGAAGACGATCTTGTCGAACAGCGGCTTGGCTCCAGGGACGGAGAGGGCGATGAGAGTCGCCCCTATCTCGGATGCCTCGACGCCCAGCATGGGATCGTATGACCATGATTCGTCCGTTTCCCACTGTCCGAGGATGACGAGGACCAGTCGAGCAATCGATATCGCAATGACTCTGCAAAGCATATATTAGTCAAACATCACTCAAGAAGCACCAAGCTAGGCGCTTCCAAATCGGTTGAGCGACCAAGGAAAAAGAATCAAGCCACTTACGCGACACCCGGCAGCAGAATGCCGGCCAGCTGAATCTTACGCTTACGAGACATCTCCAATGTCCGCAGCATCGCAATGGGAATGCCGAATAGAAGCAAGTCGCAGAGGAGGGACACCGAGGAGTTGACGCTGTAAACTATACCCCATTGCAGGCAGGTATAGCGAGGAGCAACAGGCTCCCATCCGTACGGCCAATAGCCCGTCACCGGTTTACAGTGGAAGATGAGCAGGAAGATCTGGGGCAGGAAGCCGGCGACCAGGATGCAAAAGACAACCTTGATGGCGATGAGGAAGTTGTTGTGAAGCCCGCAGACTCTGTAGTAGAATGCCAGACCGGATACACGGCATAGCAAGAGGGCCGTCGTGTAGAGGATATGCGCGACGAAATCCAGCACCTGCGTCCGAAGCACCGTGGGGACATCCAGCACGTATTCTATAAAGGCAAAATGCCTGCCGGAGCCCAGGTTGATGAGCTCAATGCTTAATCCAACGAAGCATATCAACAGGGCCTAGTAGATACAAGAAAAGACAAATCTCGAGTCAGTTCTCTGTTTATGCTTGCCGCTTCGCGTTGAACAAGGCAAGTATTAGGGGGTTGTGCATGTAGGCACATGTACTTACCAGTGACACTGCGGCCAGCACATCGTCAATGCCAATACGCTGCACGATATACGATCGAGATATCAGCCGTGTGACTACGACCAGAAACGTCAGGGCCGTGACGAAGACGATGCCGATAATCGACGGTCGGTCACGGCTTTCGCCCAAGTATTCGGCCGTGATGCCCGGTGGGACATTCCCATCCGCGATGGCCTGCTGAATGCGAGAGTCCACCATTATCCACAGGTAAGCAGAGGGCCGTTGGCTCCCGCAGTCGCGATTAGAAAAAAAACGTGGGAAAAGCGCCCGTAAGACGTGTGCCAAAATCGTCTGGTATGTCGTCCCGCGGTCCACCCGTATAATACAGTGTACGTATTATACAAAGTGTTTTTTTGGCTCCTACATGTAGGCAGTTCCAACAACAAAGATGGAGGCGGCAACTCCTGCCGAGAAGAAAAGAAAGGAAAGGAAAAAAGTAAATGAATGATATCCGCAGAGGTCGATCCCAGTGGGTGGCGAGGGGCCCTGACTGATATGTATGTAATGGACGATTTTGGGCTTGTGCCCGGGAGGCTCCGTCCAGGCCGCCCGCCCACAAATTCCTCTACGAGCAAAGCATCTTGACCTTTTTTTCATGCAAGACTGGGGACCAGGATCATGCTAGCAAAGGGTTCCAGAAGGATGTGCGTGGCTGCGAAGCTTGGAACGACCACGCCAAGTGTAATCGACCTTGGCTAGCTTCGAATCCCGCGGCAGGAGAACAAAGTCCCGTGTATAAGAGCCAGAGGGCAAAAAAGAGGCTTGAGAAAAACTCTGGTGCCCACCATGATGAAATCTCCTATTTGCTCTCCATCCGACGGCCACAACTCTGCAGCGCCCTTTACTCGTTCCGGCACTTGTCTGCTCGAACTTAGTCCACCACCCGCTCGCGGTGGAGTTGTTTATCGCCGCAGCCATTTCTTCATCACGCACGGCTACCGTTACACCTGAGGAGGGGGGGGCCTAGTTCGCTGCAGATGCCAAAACCGGTCTACTGGGACAATTCAGAGAGCAATCCGATAGGCCGGCACGAGGGCCTCCTAAACCTCCTAACGCTCTACCAAGACCAGCCACAACGCCACCTAAATCACAGGCGTCGCAGACGGCTGAGCAGAATCGTTTTCATGGGCTGCGCGCTCAGTTTTTGTGGACGATTCAGTGTCTTGGTTTTTATTTGCGGAGAATGGGCCGAAGTCTTTTACAAATTAGTTGACAGCACAATAGGGCCAGGTCTAACCGAGCCCTTACTCCTGACGTTGTGCCTGAATTGCCTCCTCGTGGGCCAAAGTTTGACGGGCTCTGGGAAAAGGGCCGTATCGTGTCAGTAGTATCTGCAAGGTGACAAGATACGCACATTATCGGATACGCTTCTGCTCTTGACCATACTGTAGTATAACACAACAGATGCCTGATAGCCGCCCACATATCTCTTCCCCATCATCAGCAAGGATCCCAGTTGCTTGAGGGGCTGCCAGGGATTGGACATTTGGCCGCCAGGGACACGTCCGGATCTGACACCGGTGGGCAGATTTCAAATGATTGACACGGATAGCAGAGGCCGCCTCGCAAATAGATGACGCGGGCTGGCGAGCCGTCGATGGCGCCGCTGCTTTTCTTTCGTGGGCCCTGAGCGACGTCAACATCAACCGCGCGCAACTAGCCTGAGCCTTTTTTTCGTGACATGGCCTAGCCAGCTTTCTTCTCTCTCTGCCTCTACCTCTTCTCCTCTTGTCAGGTTCTTGTTCTGTTGGTTTCATATTTCATAATCTATAACACGGGAAAACGCCTCTTCAGTTCAGCCGGTTAGCCGTGCCATGTTGATTCAAGCATTGCCACCCACAAACCAACAATCCTTGCACCACGCTCGGCTCGTGGACGTGTAATAAAGCGCGAGACGCTGTCGATTATGCGGCCAAAAAAGGTTCAGCGCGCGCCACACAGCTCAATCGTTCGTTACAGTAGCAAAGCCCGCCTGCTTGATTGCCTCCCTTTTCGCAACTAGCAGAAAAAAGCTCGCGGCACCTCTCCGAAACGACCCCGTTGCAGAAGCTTCAAACGCTAGCGAACAGCCATGCCCCCTCCATCTTGGGCTCTGTTTACTGGAGATTTGATGACAGCTTCTCAGGGAGGGGGAGCGCGATACGACCCCTGTTGCTCTGGCGAAGCTGAATCGCAGTCTGCAGCACTATTGAATGATCCCCTGAACCTGCTTACAGTGACAGCAACGCGCCAGCGCCAAGTTTCTGCATGTGTGCCAAGAGAGCGTAGTGGGATGGTGGATGCCATGCAGTTCGTACTCGCCCCTGGCCTATGCCTGTTCCTCGGCAGCGTAACATCGCTACTGTACATGTACGCTCTTTGGCTGCAGGTATGCACCCCGTATTGCCTTTTACCAATTCGATACCAGCTGCTCGGAGCAGCAGGTGGGATGTTTATCGACATAAGGTGATCTCGTTTGCTCCGGCTCTTGCCATGAGAGCCACTCTCGGCTGTCTCACACAAGTTACAACTTTGCAGGCTAGCGATGACAAGAGCCGGATGGAGACGCTCAGATCGAGTCCTCTAAACTCTGCGCGAGTCAGGCTCGCACACTCTCTTTGCCTGGGACGGGCCACTGACAGCCACGGTCCGCCCATCGGCATGATCAGCCCGTAAACGCGAAAATCAAGGTGCCCAGAATAGCCTCGATCCAGCCTAGCCAAGAGCCAGAGGCTTTCCACTTTAACGGTGGACTGAAGCTAAAACAGGAACTAGAGTGAACTAGAGGGCAGACAAGACCGATGGATTTTCATTTGACTAGCAATAGCATGTGCAAGTTGCTGTAGCAAGTGCTGCGACTTTTTTTCGTCTTGATTTCCCTCCAACCTCTGCCAAGTTGCCAAGTTACTCGAGGGCTTTATTAGTCGCCCTCTAAACAGAAAAGAAGCGGAACGCGTAGCCGGCTGCAGGCACGATTCACTAGGCCGATGCAAAGCAGAGCTTTAACTGGATCTGGGCTAACAAGGCCCTCTACTGCAGTCGTATATTGGCATCTATCCTTGGATCAACACCAATTCTTGGTCACAAGTAGTCGTACTAGTGGTGTTCCTGCAGCTTATACCACACCTCATTTACACAGGCTTGCTATTGCAAAGGCTAGCTGCTGTAGCAGGCAAACGAAGGCCTAGACCTGCTGAAATGTAACGGCGTCGGCATGGGGGTTTCTTGATAGTATGTGATGACTCGTTGCCTGCGCTGGATCAGGCCCAGAGCCGTCCTCCTTCTCAGTTTCCTTCTGCATGTTTACTTCATCTACGTATCGCAGGTATGAAACTCAGGGCTCGCTCTTGGATCAAGTTCTCGGCAAGTATTCCGTAATAGCACCTACTCTCATGGGATAGCGCCTATCCTGCTGCTGAGACCCTTGTAAGCATCTGTGTACTTGTAACCATCAACACGAAGGGACCTTGCATGCAGCCAGAACTCGCCCACGTGCAATTTCAGAGACAAGTGGCAGCATATTTGAAACCTCTCTTCTCCCTCGTCAAAGCATGCCCACCACCTCCTTGAAGAGTCAACAACAATATTAGGGAGCCATTGCTGCATGTATCCCACTTCAACCAGGATACTCCTCTCATGAAAGTCTGATTTAATAATCTTGACAAGCCGGTAACTGTACAGTGCATAAACGTGAGCAGAATGACACTGTAGCGATGTACCCCTACGATTCATGGTGCCGCAGTACTCAACTGTCAAACGCAATTAGCCAAATTGACGATGCCTTGCTTCTTAGCATCACCGGCAACTTCTCTGCCTGGAGAGCTAGTCCGCACCTTGTCTTGACAGGTCACCGGCCAGACACTAGTTGTTCATCCGGCTCGCTCTAAGCAGCGCTCCTATGTCAAGAATGGATATTTTCGCGCCGGCAGAGCCAGCCAAGAGCTGAGAAGAAGAACCAAGGCAATAATCGCTTCACTATCACTGCTATTCCTTGCATGCTCACTCAGCCTCTGTGACTATTGCTGAGCCTGGGCCTCTTGCTGGCTCGCCTCCCCCCCTATCCTGCACTACTTTCAGCTCCATGTCTATAGTACTTACTTGGCGAGTCTAACGCCCGACGTATCATTCGGCAATTTTCCCCGCTGCACATGTAGGTATTTTTTCCCTTTTCATGTTCTTGGCTGACAATATTTCCGAAGACGGGATATTTGTTCTAAAGGCGCGTCTGGGCTGGGGTCAAATCTCCGATAGGAGCGAGCCCCCGGACTTTTTGTTGCCCAACGCGTTGGGATATTTTGTCTGGTTGCAACCCATCCATATGAGGCAGCTAGCCACACCAAAAGAAGTGTGACGTTTGTCAAACCGCCCAATGAGCTGAATTGATGAGTTTCTGTAATTTTTATTGCTACATGTTTCGAAATCTATCTTACGGTGTTTCATTCGCATCTAGCTGTAACATCTGCTGCAGGCAATAGCTGCTATATCAAAGTGCTGCATTATGGCGTGTGAGTACACGGTATGATTCTCGACCAAGAGACGGGAAGGCGTCTTCAGCCAATCTATTTAGTCATAAGAACAAGTACATGGCTATTTCAAGAGATCCGTCTGCATGTTATGGACGTAGTATGTTTTCTTATCTAGTGGTAAACTTTATCATAATAATTTCCATGTCTGGTCTTCTTGGACTTCTAGTATCCATGAGAGTTCTCTGCAAAGACTCACTGCTTATTTTAGTTCATAAATCGTTACTTCTCTGGGCTTACAAGCAATATTTATGCAAGATCATCGAGTAAGCTCCTTGATAGCAAATGGCACTGATATTTGTAGCAAAACTAAAGAAATTCATGAATTTCACAAATGTCTGCGCAAAAAGCCAGGCAAGCAATTCGTCGGTATCAAGCCCGCAAAAAAGGCGTTGTGGGTAGTAGAGAAAAGACTACGAGCACTATTTGTGAATATGCAATATTAATATTTAAACTAATCTATTAATACAAATGAAAAATCTATATATAATGATAAATAGTATGTACCCAAGCTCTTCAAGTCAGCACTACCGCCGCTCGAGATCCAGGGTAATTAAAGAACGAAAATATTGATGCCTATCTTGGCCGCTAGAGCAAATACGCAAAGATGACCAATGCTAGCATTGAGCATGACTATGAGACATTTTCTTGGTAGTTTTGTTAGTTTGTCTTTTTTCCCGCCTTCTTCCCCCACGG